CCTCCCAGAATCCAGCAATAATAGCTCATGTCCCCCCAAAATGCCATTTTTTTTATTCTTTTTTTTTTTTTTTTTTTTTTTTTTTGGTGGTGGTGGTGGTTCAAGGGACTGAATGGAGGGTCTCATGTATGCTACGTAAATATTCTACCACTAACAGGCTGGGGAGATAGCTCAGCAGTTTAAGTGCCTGCCTGGCAAGTACACGGATCTGGGTTCAATACCCAGTACCACATGCTGTGCCAGCCTTGCCCCTGGGCATGCTGAGCCAGCCACCAAGACCAGGCATGGTGGTGCATGCCTATAACCCAGCACTGAGGAGGCTGAAAACAGGAGGATCACTACAAGGCTGAGATGCATAGTGAAGTGATGCATAGTGATACATAGTGACTATTTTCTTTAAATAAATATTAAAAAAAATTTTCTAAACATATTCTACCACTAAGTCATACCCCAGGCTATATATTTCCTTTCTTAAATCTTGCTTTCAAACCCTGAAATTTACCTCCATCCTAAATCCACAATCCTACTTGGCCAATATACCTAAATGCTTCAAAACTAAGGCCACCCTGAAAAAAGTGCTAAGCAGTTCTCTTAATTAACAGACAACAGTATTTGTCAAGCAAATTGAGTAATTGTTTTTAAATATAACTTGCATATAAAGTATTAGGAGATACATCCTCTTTGAGAATTAGTGTTTTCAGTGACCTAAGTTCTCGGCCTGGTCCATAAATCTAAGAGAAGTCAGCTTATCCTTCCAAGGCTCCTTAGCCGTCAGACTTCAGGTCTCTTGCCTACCACTACCCCCTCAAAAGGAGACTCATTCTCAGTAACTACGGCCCCTGGAGAGCGCAGCGCACGTGTGCTTCTCATCCATATGAGGTCTCTGTTACAGGGAAGTGGCAACCCAACAACCAAGAATGGCAAAAGGACAAAAAGCATGTCCTCATACATGATATGTAATGCTGACTGTTTTAAAAAATTGAGGGAAAGGGTAAAGTTATAAAACCTGGCTGCAAACAAAACTGAAATTTAAGCCACTATTTTTGTCAAAACAAAGAAAGAAAAATCAAGAACAAATTATTATTTGTTGAAAAACAAGATTATTGTATTAGACTGAATTGTTAGAATCCTCAGGTGAAAACTATAACTTCTAAAAAGCCCTTCAGCATTAAGTCTAACATCTTACTATTTAAATAAAAAACATACTGACTTATTTAAAAACAAGAATTCCATATACACACTGATATGCACATTTCCCGCAATGGAATTATGTACCTTTTGACGTCGTTTCTCTTTTCTTTTGTCTTCTGTGTCCTGTAGCATTTTTTCTTTCCAGAGGTCAAAGAAATAGGAAGGATCAGTATAGAACTTCAGCCCATCTTTCTTATCATCTCTGTGAATCAATGTATTGTGTAAGTCAGGAGGGGAAAGACAGTCAGGTAATTCTATCTGACAATGGAAGGCAATATTAAAATTTCAACTCAGCAGACATATAGGTGGGTATCCTCACTATTAAGTAATTATTTTCCACATTTCCTCATTTGTCATACATGAGGAAACATTCCAGAGAGCAACCTGTTCTGCATAAGCAGGATTGGGTACCGCTGCACATGTAGGATGAGGTACAGAAAATGTCTCTGAAAAAGCACAAGATGGCTCTTAAACAGTAAGTATTAGTAGCTCGACTATTTCAGGAAACATTTTATTCCAACGGGGTTATACACAGAGACTGATGAATTCTTTAGCATAAATACATTCTTTTCTACCCTGGAGATGAAATATTACTGTGATTAAAAAATGAGTAAGAGTCTGTCTGTTCTCAATCAGGTTTGCCCAGTACAGTGGTACCTTGGTTCAAAAACTTAATTTGGTCCACAAATTCTGGCCAAGATGGCCATGTTGGTGCTTGTGAGGGAAGATGGGCATCATCACATTCATCACTCAATGCAGAGTTGGCAAACAAAAACAACATTTGCCAAATGTTTTTGTTTGTGAACCAAAGTACCACTATACCTATAAATTCAGTTAGGAAAGAAGGAAAATGCTCACTGTGAATAAATGTGGCTAGGAAAACAGTGCTCAGCTATGTATTTTCAAAGAGAGTTTATTTACTTGTAAGTACTGCTATAATTGCTATGGCCTAACGAGTATTTCAAATCCTGTAAGTTACTCATTTACTATAAACCAAAAATATGACCGTTATGAATTAAAATGTACCATAATACAGTAGTAGCATTCAAAACAACCATAGTGGAAATAAAGCTTATCCCATTAATGGTCTGTAGACCTCCAAGAATGAAAGTGAATCATGTACATTTCATATTAGCATTTCCACAGTGCTTTAGGGCACCCAAGAGCAGCACCATTACAGGAGCACTGAGAGGCAAGAGTTAATGATCAAAGAAAGCCCAAGGAGCCATGCTCCCATCCAGGGCCAAAAGTTCACACCCAGGGCTAATGGCCAGTCTCCTAGGGCGGCTATTCTAGTCCCGGCAATGGAGAATCACTACTAACAAGCCTTACAACGTACTATTTTTTTAAACCCTGTATTATTTAACATCTTTCTTTTTTCTAGCTTCCCAATTTGTAAGCAAGTTGCATAACAGAGATTTTATTAACATTATTTTGAAAATAACAATTTTCCCCCCAAGGCTTTGAGTACAGGTAAAGGTATAAAAAGACTGAGTGCAGAACTTGAGAAGAAATTTAAGTATGTAATATATGTTCTTTAATATGGTGTTAACACTCCAATGAAGATGGGAACATGTATTAATTTTGACAAGAGATAAAGCAACTATGGTCCTACGTTTATAGTCTATATAGTCTAATCACTTGACTTTTTAGCATTTTGACGTCATATTTAAGTTCATATGAAAAAATCTGTTTTATGTACCCCAGCTATTGTATGAATGAACTCAAGCCAGCACTGTTATTGTTGAATATATTTTTAAAAAGTCAAAGATATGTTTATTTCCCATATAACTGAATATACACATACCTAAAGTTAAATCACTTTTCATGTCATTAAAATTTTTAAGTCATCACAAATGTCTAATTATAATTTTGATTAATCAAACATAAATGGCTAGGTTTCTGATTTTCTTTTTAAAAGAGAATCTTTAGTGAGTTTTCTTAGTAACACTGGGTAGAAAACTTTAAACCAGTGAGCTTTCATGCCATAGTACAAACACTGAGTTTCTTAGTGCTAAGAAAAACTCCAATTGACTTGGAAAACTGTCCATCACATGAAAGCAGTCACAAGTTTAAATTTGAAGCTCATAATGTGTCTATTCTCACGTGTCATGAACTTTTTAAATGTGTGCACATCACCTGCAGGAAAGCAGGCTAGTGTCACAAAAAGGCAGGGCTTCTTGTTCATCTCCAATGACCTCCAGGGGACCTTTCATCTAGTTGACAGAAGCTCTCTGTGCACAAAGGGATGCAGTTGAATGCCCTTTATTGACAGAACTATACTGAATAGTAGCTCCAGACCTCTCCTTGTAAACCCTGAGAAAGGACAGGAAACTGGAATGCAGAAACCTCGAGCCATTCTCTGAGGAGGACTGGCAGGCCTGCAGGAAGAATGTCAGGAGATCAGTCCAAGAAGCAAGGCACTCCCAGGCTTCTCCACGGCCCTCATAGGAGAATCGGCTGGTAGAGCTGAGTGGGGCACTGAGGGCCACTGGCCACCACAGTCTGTTTACAGAGGCTGGAGGAGTGGACTCTGGGCAGAGCAGAGGGACGAGCCCCACCATGAGGACAAAGAGACCACATGAGAAAGGGAGATAAAGGGGCAGTGACAGCAGGCACCAGAAGAAACCTCTGTGGTGATGGGCAGCATCAGGGCATTTCACAAAAGCATATGTCAGTTATCTCTTCATAGTAATTTTTGCAATACTTTCTATTCTTTTTCTTGAGAACAGTAACAGAAGGTTAATCTGGCAATGCTATTTTCAACCTTAGAAAACACTAACATTGGAACATACATTTTCCTGAAGTAAGTAACAAATGACTCAGGTGCTGATGTACAGAGACAGATATTTTGCTGCACTATAAATGAACTGTGCCACTCATTTCCAACAGACTTTGCAAATAAGGAACAACAACATAACTGCATATGTTGCCATCATGTGAAGTGTCCACTTCCACTTAAGATAACCATATCTGAGAACTAAAATCAGAGCTCCCGCATCTGCTAGTAAATGCACCTATGCCTTAAAATACTAAAATTTTAATAGCTCTATATCACTGACTACTATCATTGGGTACAAAGTACAATTATTGTTTTCAGAGTTTGAAAGAACTCTTTTAAAGCCACCAAAGACCCAATGTGTTATCACCTTTCTATCTGTCTATATTTTTATCCACCTGTATGAAAATATTCTGAAGACCCTGGGAGACATACCTGTAAGGGGTTAGGATGTCCAGAGGAGGTGGCTTATCACTCTGGTTGTAAATGTCAGCAACAGGATTAGGAATGCTGTTCTTTGAAACCACCTGCTGGTCTTGGATGGTGGAACTTTTGAAAGCTTTTTTCATGTTGATATCCTGAAGTGACACTATTTAGAGAAAAGTCCCCCAAATTGAGATACAAAGAAATGTTTTTCATTACCTAGAAATAAGTATCATTTGACTCGCAACCATAAAAATCCTGGAATAACCAAATAATGGCCTTTATTGTTTCTTTAAAACCATGCTTAAATAGAAGTTGACTCCTTTCCTCTTAGAGGTAACACTTTTCTTGACAGGTCAAATTCTTTTGTAATAATCTAATTATTTCATTGACTTTAATAGAACATTGTTCTTCATTTAAATAGTACTTCTCCAAAACCACATGGAAATGTAACAGGCATGGTATCCCAACTAGGTATCCCAACTAGTTAATATCCCTTTAAGTATAATATCTAGAGAAAATACTTCCTTTTTTTTTTCTTTTTGGCGGAACCAGGGATTGAACTCAGGCCCTTACGTTTGTCAGAGAAGCGCTTATTCCACTGAGCCATTTCCCCAGCCCTAGAGAAAATATTTCTGCAAAAGTTACACAAATGTAAGTAACACACTAAGGTTTTCCAACATTAACATTAAGGAAAGACAGCAAAGCATATGAACATACTTAATATACTTATAGAAATCAAGTAGTTGAATAAAGAAAATTACTCTAACAAGGAGGGAAATCAGGGCTTGGTATACTTTTTTGTAAGTCTGTGTGGCACTTACATGTCATTTGTTAACTCTGATGTTGACATAAACTTCTGAGGCACATTAGTCCTATTAATCCAGTTGGCTCATCTACTGGAGCTGGCTGAAGGACATTAAGGTTTCTGGCCAAAAAAATTCGGGAGCCCTAAAAAGATCACTGATTTCCTAGCTTTCAGGAAGGTAAAAATTTTGACTGGGAAGGGATTTTAAAGATGTACTGTAAAATTTCATAAATATTATTTATAGCTTAACTGAGTAAAGTTTATCATAAACATTCCAAATTCTAAAGCAAGCAAAAAAAAAAAAAAAAAAATCTAAGAGGAGAGTTAAAAATCACTTTGATACTGATTTTAAAAGTAAATGACTTAAGATGTTAAGAATTCCTTTAACAGATCAAGTAGCTATTTATTTTTTTCTATTTAAAACTCTAATTTAAAAGAACACGTCTTTAGCTTACTGTTTATTGATGGAAAAGTTAGTAAGAATGTCTATAACAAGTATGAGCCGTAATTTAATTTTGACTTTTGATAAAGACTTCAATATAAATAAACGTATCTTCTTTAAATGATGAGGGATAAATCCTACAAATAACTATATAGATATAATAGAAAATTCAAGATGCTGGAATTTTTGTTAATTTTTTTTTTTAAGTATTTGGTGCAGGGTCTCACTATGTAGCTTGGACTCATAGTGATCCTTCTGTTTTCAGCCTCCCCAGCACTGGGATTACAGGTGTGCACCACCACACCCAGACTCAGTGGCCATGTGCCTGGGGGTGGGGCCAGCACAGCATGCAGTTCCAGGGATTGACTCTGGGTCCCTGTACTTGCCTATGCAGGCACTTAGCCTGCTGAGCTATCTGGCCAGCCCTGATGCTAGGATTTTTTTTTAAAGCAACAAGAAAATTCTAACCAGTACTATATAAAGAGAAAAGTAATATATAACTTGAATATTTTTCTCAAAGTAAATATGTAGATTATCTTACCATTTTCTGATGTTCTTCCAGTCTTAACCTCAGTCTCTCATTCAAAATAAAACTTCAAAAATGGAATTGTTAATGGCTTAAGTTGTTAATGGCAGTTTGATGAAACTGCCACACATTTGAGGGGATATCATCAAAATTATTATTAGTCTACAAAGTGCTTGTTGATATTAATATTATTCTTAAACTTAAAGCCTAAAGGCCTTTGATAAATGCTCTGAGAAGGTTAATAAGATTTGGAAAGGGACAGAATCACCAGGATTATTCACAGGCATCAAACCAAACAAGCATGTCAGACTGAAGCCTGTATTATGCAGCAGAGTGTACTATGGTCCTTACTTTTACTCTCTGGAGTGAGTCTAGAAATTTTAAACAACAAAGTGCTTTTAAAATAACTACCAATAACTATCAGGACTTCCAGTACTGAATATGTTGGGAAAAGTGTTAAAATAAATACCGTATTTATAATTTTGAAACAAAATCATGGTGTACGAAGTAGACGAGATGAATCTTTTGGTCACTAATTAACCCACTGTTGTGAGGTGCCCCTCACTATTTTTCCAGGGACAGACAAGACACAATGTCAGCATGCTACTGATGGAAGAAGCAGTGATTACACACTTAATGACCATCATCTTGTGGCCATCACTTCTGGTTCACTGTGTTCACGCAGTTACCTACCCTCTTCCACTGTGGAATCCAGCTGTGTAACTTTGACAGAGAGGCGATCAATTCTGTCTTGAAGAGAATTTGCTCGGATGTAGAAGTTGTTAGCCTCATTAAACAGCTCCCCAAATATGTCTTCAGCATGTTTGCCTGCAGAAGAGAAGGAACACAGAACACCATCTGCTGCGGAGCGCTGCTGTGGCCTCCACGCGGCCACGTTAATGCATATTACCGTCACCACAAGGTCTGATGCAGAAGAGTGTAAAAATGAAAGTGTCACAGTCCAAGGCCTGTACAACTCTGGAAATTTATTAGCTATTCATGTGAATCTGAAATTGAACCAAAGTGGCAGGACTTTAAAATATTTTGCATAGTACAGAATCATTTTGTGTGAGCTGTCCCTTAAGTTACATCCCTTGAAAAGGAATTTATTTTGGGGAAAACGGTTCTCATTTTACATTCTGTGAGTATAAATACAATCTCAGGTGCTCCCAAAATATTTTGGCATAAATGAATAAAAATGTACTTAGTCATGACTTCGTAAAGTTAAAACTAGCCCTTCAGGATGCAGATTGGGCTAGGTGCAGGAGTCCCCTCTGTGCTCCCACAATGCTCTTAAATTGACCTCAATCACAAGATTCACAAACTAATCTTGGCATAATTTCCCCAATCTCTCAGATGGTGTGAGCTAATTCTCTGACCCTGGCACTGGTTATGCTGAGACCATGCTCAATGACATCTGCTGAGCAAAAACACACATACATACACATACAAAACATACTGAGACCACTGCCGTCTTTTTCATGGGTACACAGCCAACAAATGCTCCCTGTACAAGAAAGTTTGGAAAATGCTATCCTAAATAGATTAAGTATATTTCTATGTCCTGGGGTATCTCAAAATCCTTAAGAGGCCGATGTGTGCTAGGAATATGCAAGAACATCTTGCATGTCATCCTTTCAAAGAGAAAGGGTGTGGAAACACTTAATAGCATCTTTCAGATCTGCTCTTTTCAGAAGGTGGGAAAGGATGCCACAGTCTCTTGCAGAAGTTAAACCAACATTCTCAAACCACAGTGACACTGCTAAGAATACTTGGTACCCTGCGAGATGCCCCATAAGCAGGAAAGGCTAATAATATGTATTCCTACCCTCAACGCTTAATGCTATTTGAAAAGATTGATGCAACTGATACTATATTTCCACTTGGGAGTTTTTGATTTTGACACAGAAATTAAAGACACATAATTAATATTTTGCCAGCTGCTGAATGCTGACAAGTGACTAGAAGGACTGGTCTGATGAACAAGAGTAAGTGTTGCAATTACAGTCTTCAGTTTTGCAAACCAACAGATTTGAAAAGCTGACTTTTATTCTTTAAATGGCAAGTCCATTAGCTAAACTAAAATAATCCTGAATTGAATTAATGCCCACATGAAGGAAGTACAATTCTTCACTCATTACTGACAAAGATTCCAGTTCTGGACTTATTAGTACTACATGAATTCGATTCCAAGTATGCTAGGTTAAGAAATATGTCTCAAATTGCCTAAGTATAAAAATTTGGCACATATTTTCAACTGTATTTAAGTGTGAAGATTTATTGGAAACAATCAAAGTGTCTTATGTGAATCTGTCAACATGAGCCTAGCACCTAGATCTTGGTTTGTCAAGATTATGCTTCTTTTTGCACTAAAAGGAACCAGACTCCTTGCAGAAATGGACTGACTCCAGGGCTAAAGGTAGAAAATACAAGGTGAGCCTAGAATATGCTGTTTTGCTAGAAAAACTGATGTGCTCAAAGACTGAGCACAAATGGAAACGTCAAAAGGTACCCAAGAGGAAGCCTGAATAGATCCCCTTGGCCAAACTTGGAGAAATGGATGCATCAAAGTGAATGCAAGATAAGAGACTATAATCTGTAGAATAAAAGGATTGTCAGTCCAAGCTGATACAAGTAAATGAATGGAAGTCTTTATAGAGCAGAATGCTAAGCAATTATTGTTGAAAAATTATGAAATGACAAACATCACCACTCTGCAACTGCCATAGCAGTAACAGTTTCAGGGAAGAAGCATCCGTGGGTGCTGAGAACAGCTGATGGCAGAACTGGAATGGAAAGAAAGGTATCTGACAGTCTCAAAGTGCCTCCCCATGAAACACAGCACTTACACTAAAGAAACTGCAGCAATTGAGCTGATGGAAGGCAGCACACACCCGGCCATGCTACAGGCAGATACAAGTCCAAGTGCTTCCTGATAAAGCACCTGTAATACCTCTATCTCTATACTACACTAATCACAGAAAGACATTAGAAAATCCAAGTGGCGTTCCACAAAATAAAAAGGCTGGATCCTTTTAATGTCAAGGTCATGGAAGCCAAAGACTGGAACTATTTCAGATTAAAGGAGACTAAAAAGAGATAATTTTATACATACACATATATGGGGAAATGAGAAGGCAGGGGATCTCAGAAAAGATATAGTAAATATCTGGGGAATGTGAGAATTTATTGAAATTCTTGAGACTATTTTTGATCTGTCTATAAGTCAGAAATCATTTCAAAGAACTAAAAAAGAACCTTAATATAGTGTCTGTAGGGGGAGGCAGGGAGATAGCTCAGTAGAGTAAGTGCCTGCTTGGCAAGTGCAGGGTCCTGAGTTCAATCCCTGTTACCGTAAAAAAATAAAAAATAATGTCTGTAATAATATGGAGTTGCTACTGAACTCTAGAAAATAAAATATCATAATTATTGGAAGATTTTTCCTTCTTTTAAATTTTTATTTTCTGTACTATGAAAGCAATACATGCAATTTAAAAAACACAGAAAAATACAAAAAGACGAACAATAGGAAAAATGGCCCAAAGATTAATCAAAGACATCTAATATTAACAATTCTGACTAAAAAAGTAATACATGAAATAATAGTTCATGAACTGAAATTGTTCTACAGCTTTGGAAAAGATGGCCATGGTCATGCTTACCACTCCATCCAGAGTTTGCAAACAGAAACAAAATTTTGTCAAATACTTCTGTCAAAATTCTGTCAAATACCAAATCTTGCAAACAATGTATTAGTGAATGTGGGCATGTTCATTGTAGGAAATGTGGAAAACTCAAAAGAGTAAAATGTCAGTCATAGTTATTTATAATTATTTTCAGTACTTCTTTACAATATTCTAAGCATTTTATAAGAATTAATATAGCATATGGTCATCAAACATATTTAATTATCAGCAAGCACTCAGAGAGCAAGCTCTGAACACAAGGCACTGTTGCGGTGGCTGGAAGGCAGAAAGCAGTAAACACAGCCTAGGCGTCAAGAGGCACATGACAGGTGGGGGAGACAGAAGTGAGCCAGCAGATGACATTCAGGTCCTAACTAGCACTATGAAGAAAATAAAACAGAGACTAGAGAGTGGCAGGAACTGAGTGGCATTCAGTTTGTCACCCAAGGCCTCTCTGATAAGGTGGCATCAACTGACTGAAGAAAAGCAGCTTCTATACGTGCTCCTGAAGGAAGACCCTTCCACAAAGAAGACAGGAATCTACTTGAGGTCACTGAGGAACATCAAGGAGGCCAATGTGGCTGGAGCTCCATAACCCATGAGACAGAGAAAGAAATGCCCTTCCCCCTTTGGAATGAAACACCCAGACTGCAGGCAGGGAGATCAGCTGGGAGCCTCCTGAGAGGTAATGGTGACTTGGGCTAAACAACAGCAGCAGGGGAGCAAGTGGGAGCAGTCTACAGTAGGTGCACACTTCGAAGGCGACTGTACTGCAATTCTGCTGGTAGAGAAAAAGATAAACCAAAAGCATTTGATAAGAGAGTAGAGTGAAAAAAAAATGATAAATTCAGTTTTAGTCATGTGCAATTTGAGGTACCCACTGGAAATCTAATGCAGGTAGATACTAACTGGGCAGTGTATATACAAGTCTGAAGTCCAAGGGAGGTCAGAACTGCAGGCACAGATTTGGAAACTGTCAGCATGAAGGTATTTCAAGCCACAGGACTGGTATTTCGAGGCACAGGATTGGATGAGCCCACCTGATGAATTGGAATAAAGGGAGAGGAGTGTCAGTGACCAAACCCAGAGCACTCCAACATGCAAAGGCTGAGAAAATCATCAAAGGAAACTAATAATGAACAAGTAGGAAGGAGGGCAGAAGAAACACCAAAGTGAAGAAGCTAGGTGAAGAAAGGCTCTGCAGAGGAAGTGACAGGCTCAGTTTCACAGAAGTCGGTGAGACAAAACTAGAAAGAGTAGGAGACAACGAAGGAAGTAGAGCCCATGGAGACAGAGTTATCAGAAGAAATCTTGCTCTCAAGGGAAGCAAGAAATGGGGTGATGGAGAGGATGATCTGATTAAGATGGGAGATTTCTCTCTACACTGTCTTTGATGGGAATGATGGTAGACAGAGGACAGAAAATATGACACAGAGAAGAGAGAAAGTAAATTCAGTCCTAGAGTGAACAAGAGGGCACAGGATCTAGTGTGTAGGTAGAGGAGACGGCACAGGCACAACCTCGAGCTGTCCATCCACTGTAAGGGGGGGGCAGGCAGGTCTGGTACCGAAACCACGCAATGGGCTGACTGTTCCCAGGGCGAAGTCCAGCTCTCCTCTGGCTGCCGTTATGGTACCAATGACAGAAGGAGCACAGTCATCAGCTCAGCATCTGGAAGACTATGAAATAGTCATTTTAAAAGCACAAAAACTAATTAACTAAGAAATTATGGCAGCATTACTAAGCAGTACTAAGGGCTCACCTGAGGAATGTGCTCATGATGTTAAACCTTTTCTCCTTTTGCTAATATAAGCATTTAAAGCTATCTGGTTCCCTCTAAGTACTTCTTTAAGTGAACCCTACAGATACAGCATACTGGTGTTTTGTGTTTATTACCTCCTATAACAGTTTTTCATTTTCTTCACTTGAGTAATCTTTAAAAGATATTGCTTGATTTTCCAAAATTTGATTGTTACCTGAAAAGATTATTTCATCATCATACTCTGTATTCTCACCTTTTCAAACTTCTCCTTTTATGGCTTAGCATATATTCCATCTTGGTGAATTTCATGGGAAATTAAACGAATATCTATTATACACTTTAGGAAGTCAGTATTTTTCTTAGTTATTTTTGTCACTGCT